AATTATTAATAAATGTTAATATTATAGATATAAATTGTTTCATTAATTTCTACATTTGATATTTAATATTATGATTGAACGATTTATAAAATTAATATAATTCTGATACATTAAAAACAAATTTCTAACAAATTTCTTCTAAAGTATCCTAACATTTTTATAGATGTATTTATACAAATTTAAGATCTTTTTTAAAGATTCACTATCTATTAACAATTAATTTGAGCTAACGTTGAAAATTAATTTTAGTATTATTGTTTCTTGCTAGCAAAATTCGGGTAATAAATTTTACTATTGCGGAGGCTGCTTATTGCAACATCCATCATAAATTATTGACGTACAGTTACAAATGCAAATCTTTTTATTTCGTGGGAATTTTAGAATATTTTATTTAAAAAACAAATTTCGTAGATACAAAAATTATTTTAATGTTTGTTTTGTATTTCTATGTTGTTCGTGAATTTATCATTAACAATATATATCAGCAGTAATCACGTAATTTTTTCGATCTAGAAATTAAATAATAAGCTCATTAGCACACCAGTAACATAGTATTCAGAAAAATTCTTGCCAATTTTTGTTGATTAGAATTCTAGGGATTTTTCTGATCGACAACGAGTTTTTAGAAGTGAGAAAAAGTTAAGATATTAAAAAATTACGGAAAAATGGCCACCGTTGGTAACGAGAAAGAAAGTTTTGTTTCTTCAGGATAACGCCTTTATGTTGCATGGCTAAGATGACGAAATAGTGGAACTTGAATAGTAAATTATATTCAATCTATCGTATTTGCCAAATTTCTCTTTAATAGATTTTCACTTGTTTTTGAGTCTGGATGATCACATGAACAAAGATCAATAATGAAAGTGATTTGAAAGAAGAAATGTCAAGATTTTCCCGCGGAAAAACAGAAAACGGCATTTATAAGTTGTTAAACCGTTGAAAGAAAATTTCAAAATGTAAAGACTCATATTTTGAATAAATTAATTTTTCGTGTCACAATGATAAGAACTTTTCTGAACTCTCTATTATTAATTCGGATTTTATTCTTTTACTGTTTCAGATATTATTAATTAATTTATATTTTGCTATTTATTTATAATATAATAAAAAGCTTACGTTTTTAAAGTAAACTAATAAAATAAGTTTTTATTAATCTATTGTCTTTTTATATTAATTAAATTAAAAATAAAATTGCAATTTTCAGTTTATTTAATAAAAATCAGCATATCAACATTTATTTTAATAAAAATCAAAATATCAACTCCGACAAAAAATTATGAACTGAAAAAATTTAGTTCTTCCATTTAACAAAATTTACAATACTTTGTTCTTTAGTAGTAGATTCTTGGAAATTTTAATTTTTTTTCAGACACTTGAGAGAAAAAAAGTTTTAATCAAATGCAAGTGGTCTCTGTTGGTGCTTCTTTTTGATCAAGACGACCAGATGAGGAGATGAGCTACAGCGATGCAGGTGAATGGCCGACTGGTGAAAAGGGAGTTTGAATAAAGCACGAGTTGAATTACGGGAAGATGACCGATGCAACGTCGAGATCTCCTAAACGCTGTCAGATCGTCCGGAAGAACCAAAAGAAACCAGCATCTACCAAAAAGTTTCAAAAAGACTTCCATAGGTAAGAATCCCAGTGAAGTGACAAACGTTTAAGAACTTCATATTTAAAGAAATTTTAAATTCTTTACATAGAATGTTTCACGCGGAAGATTTAAAAAACGCATTAAATATTGTGTATGTGAAGAGGTCTAAGATGTACATAATATAATTTAATCTATTTTTATACGCGATATTATTACATGTTAAAAAATAAACGTATTTATTTGTAATAAAGCTGGCGTTGAGTTTTACTGTATTTGATCAGCGATTCATAAAAAAATAATTTTCTTTATTAGCTACAAGGATTAATATTAGAAAAACTAAAACTTTCGTTCTTAATATTTTCTTAAAATTTAAAGAGAACGTCAAATTTAATGTAGAATATTAATACGAATATTTTAAATTTTTATAATTAATAAAATTCTATTGAGGCTTTTGATAAATGTAATTCTATCTTTCATCGAGATAGAAATATTATGTGTACATTTCTTTATTTTGATATCACTTTATTTGTAGTTTGATGTATTTTGTGCATTTATATTTCCTTTACGTTCTCATACATGAAAGTCTATAATTTGATTATTATAAAGAGTAGTTGGTTCAAATCGAATTATATAATCTTTTATATTATGATCTTTGAACTTTCTAGATCACAGTATTATTTTACCAAAGGTCATGAACATTTGGGAGAATCTAGAAATGTCCTTCAGAAGCAATCTCCATTTGTTTATCCTCCTTGTTCGCTTATGTTCTCTTATTTTCAATACTGGAAGGCGAAAAAGCGCACTTCAGATAAAGAACGAAGAATGGGTGTCTTAAAAACGAAAGACTCGTACGATCTTTTACGGAGACTTCGTGTAAGTATCACAACTTTAATATTAAAACGTACAATAAGTTACGAAACAATTTGAATTTATTGTAATTATTAAATACGACGATTTTTTTTATATATTCACTCACAATTTTTTTTTCAAGAAACGATATATCAATCAAAAGTTTAATTTAATACTTGCAAGGATATGAATATTTTTGTGAGCAGCGGAATTCATTTTTTGATTGAGACTTTTAATTAAACAGAAAAGTTGAAAATTTTTAAGTTGTTATATTATGAATATTTATTTATCGATGTTACGAGTCAGGATTTCGATCAGCGCGAGAAGTCGGTGAGAGATTTTATAGAATACAGTTTGTGAAGTTACCTGTCAGAAATGTTAGCAAGTGGATGAATCTGAAGTTAGGAAAATGTTAGGATTATCGTAGCGAAGACATGGGGCCTTATGTAGATTTTCCTAGATTTTCCATAATCCAGACAATAGAAAGGCCTAAAAGCAAAATAGAAATATCTTTACAGCATAGAATAGAATTCTAGCAATATCTTCGATCCGGCGGATGCAAAAGTTGACATTTAATTTCTTCCGAATCCACTGTTCGTTGATAGACACGATTAAGATACAAAGAGCTAGATCTTGGAAATATATTGTAAAGACGAGATGCTGAGTCACGATCTGTGTCGTATTTGGAACGAAATAATCTTACGAAATTAGGGAATTTTTAGAATGAAGAGATATGCAATCTGACGTGACAGTTGTAAGAAGGATTTAATTTGGTGTGAATGAACTTGATACGAAATCAGAGGGTCACTATTGGGGGTTAAACGACTTAAAAATTTAAGAAATCCTAACATTTCGTCAGCTAACTCTAAATAATATTCAAAATTAAATAGTTAAAAAAAAATCGTAGCAAGTTTTAAGGAATCTTTGGAAAGGAAAAATTTCAATTTTTAAGAACTTTCATGGATCTGATAGATGAAAACTTTACGCTTTAAAATAAGATCAAGTGGATTGTTATATAGTTTTTCTTTACGAAATCGACAATTTTTCATTATTTTCATTATTTATATCAATTATGTTCTTTACTGGTATATATTTCCATCGCTTGACGTCACTTTTTTGAGATATCGGCTAAATTTCCGACTTAATTGAAATTTTTTATATTTTTTATATTTTCTATACCTTCATTTTACATTTTAGCAAATGTTTACGAAAAAGTACTATTTTCTGATTACAGTGACTTTGATATATATTTTTAAGGTCATCATCCTGGCTGATATTGTTGAAGGCAATCATTGTTTATAAAAAAAGTTATTAACAAAAAAAATTTTTTCGAATAGTTTAATTCTTCTATTCGTTTATATTTTCATTTATTGAGTATACGTCTGCCATATTTTTGAAGAACACACTTTACTGATATCCATGCTGTTCATATTTCTTATATTTTATAAACGCTATATGATTGATCATTATAATGTACAGTGACATGTCGGTGGTAATGTATTATTGGTAGTTGGCCGCCTCATAGCGCACAGTGGAATATTTGGCCCGAAAAGCCGGAAGGTCAGTTTCAAAAATTTCATACAAGCCAAAAAGTTTTTGTCATTCAAAGTTGTCGAGTGTCTGAGGAACAAGGTACTAAACTTTTCTTGTTCATTCATATATTCACGAATCATTGAAACTTAATCGAAAGTCAAGATATTTTGTGAAATATATTACATCTTTACACCATGATAAAATAATCGTTCATTTATTAATAATTTTTATATTTTTTAAAAAGATTATGTAATTTTTTACATATTGAATATTTTTTAGGTAAATATGCACTATATTCCCGAATAATTTTTATTTCTTTATCATACTTATCTATATTGTCATCAATATTTGTAAATAATCAATTGTTTAGTCATTTTTTTATCATCACATAAATTTATTAACGATTTTATTACATTTCTCTGTGAATATTATATTTCTGAAGTTCTTTTTAGTTTCATTCGATAGAGATTTCTGATTATAATTCAACAAAATTTAGTTCCGGATTTGTCCAAATTGAACTTTTATAGCTAATTTAGTATCTAGATATAATTTTTATAATTTAAATGAAAAAAAAATTGACGATAATGATAGAAAAATAGTCTTAAAATATATATTTTGTCATTACAAAATCAAAATTTACATATTTTGTATTAAAATAATAATTTAAATCATTTAAATATATTTTACATACAAAAATCATTTTTTTCAGCTGCAAGCACTCATTAGTGGTAGCAATTTTCCAAGGGTCTTTGATTATCGGAAAAAGGTGTTTTTAATAATAGCTCATTAACAGATGTTTACAAACCTCAATGTATAAAATTTCAAGAAAAATTGATTTTCGATAAAAATTTATGGTCATCTTGATTTTTTAAATGTAAAAATTTCCAACTTAAACTACCTGTTCAATGATTTTCAATTTTTTTTTCTCTCGCGGAATACTTTTATGCATTTGAAAATTTTGCGGCACACATGAAAAATAAATTAAAATTTATTTATTTATCATATGGATTAAAAATCCATATAAATAAATCTAGATTTCATATCATCATTGATATAAATATAAAACCATATTATAAGCAATTAACAAAAAATATATTTATTTAATAAATAAATAGTATTAATTTAATGATAATAACAAACTACGTGTTTTGTTTATTTTAATGAGATACATGAATAATTATGTGGCACACTAGATGAGGATCACTCGTAATAAATAATTCCGGTATATAATCTCGAATACCTATTACATTAAGTTTATCTTTTAAAGCATATTCCTATGAATATCTCGGAAATTACGGTCAAATGAAAAAAGTTATTCAGAATGTTGACAAGAAAATTTAAAATCATTGAAATCAGTGAGCTTCTATCCCAAATAATTACCAAAATAATTTCAAATAATTCCAAATAATTACCAAAATAATTTTTCTTTGTCATTCTTAAGAAATATCTTAATTTGAGTAAAAAAAATCATTTTCCGATTCTTCATTACTTCAATAGAAAATAATTGATCAAATAATTTCATTGAGTTGTGAATAAATGTTCAGTTTAGTTGAAAATAATGCCTTGAGTTAAACAAAGTATAAGAACCAATCGTATATTTGTGTAGAACAAAAATTTTCATTGTTGTCGTATGAATAATAAATAATGTTACGAAATCGAGAATCTACAGAAATGAAATAGTAGCGGATCTAGGACGTGGTAGAATTCCGTTTTGAGAAATTGCACTAAAATACAATAAACATAAATACATTGGAATTATGCACAAACTGCAAAATTTAGTCAGTAACCTTTTGCGAAGAAGAATAGAAAATTATGGACAAAATAAGCAATTCGACAGGCCATTAATGTTTTCTCTGATCGTTAAAATAGATAATAATGAGAGAAATTTCACGGACAATAACTTCAATATCGCAAATAATGCAAGTACGATATGATTCAAACTTAATAGGAAAGTGAATTCAGAAAAATAGGAAATAGGAATAAATAGGAACAAATGTGTAATAAATAGGTGATTAAATTTTGATATTGTATTTTACTGTTGTTTTCTAAGGAAAAAAGAAATATACAGACATAAAACCGTTCCGTTCTAACTGTCTATATGTGATTATTTCTATTAAAAATACAAGAAAATATTTTATATAAAATTTGTATGGCATTGAAAGAGGCATGATGATAATTGTTTGATTTTGAAATAATGCCGAATGATCTTGTGAAGATTACGTTTAAATTTTTAAATTTACGTTTAAATTTTAAATAAAACCTAATATTGAGACATACAAAAATTTTTTGAGTTAACTTAACAAAATTTTACGAAAAATACAAGTGTAAGTATTGTTTTAAATATGTTAATATGTTATTATTAATGTACATAAATCGTTAATATGTTATTACTAATGTTTATAAATGTAAATATTGTTGCACGCTCTTTTAAATTTTTAAATTAACGAATTAAATTCTTTCGATTTCATAGATTCATGAAGACATTTTACAAGTTTAACTTATGGTAATAGCATTGGTGATAAATTGAAAATATTCAAAAATTGAATTATTATCTTATACAAATAAATTCGGAATACATCAAAAATTTTTAAATGATCTCGTCTTTGAAACATCGATATATCACTATCCAGGAGGAAACCTAGATTTCATTTTCAGCAATTTTTTTGAAATTTTAAACGTTACAACACTTTATCATAATCAAAAAGTGTCCATATCTCGAGAAAGAAGAGTTTTCGAGTACATGATCTATTGCTTTCTTACAATTAGAAACACTAGATTATAATACTAAAATTTAGCCACTTATTTTCTTAACATTCTGTATACATTGCAATGCAAATTAAGTATTGAAGTACATGAATTCTATCCTGAATAAAATTTATACCAAATCTTAGAATTAATTGACTCGAAGGGATATTTTACAAACTGATCTGATTATACTGAATTTTAATCAAATTATGCAGAGACTTGTAACATTTTATTTGAGGAGCGAGGATCCGAAAATATTGGATCGAATTGAGTCGAGTTCACGAAAATATCTTGTAACAATGTCAAGATTCTTGAAATTTTGAGAACTCGGATCATATTTTGAGACGAATTTTGTTGAATAACTCTAGTATATGCAGTATTCTTGAACAATTTATGAAAATAATTTTAGTAGAGAGAATAAGAATAATTAATTTTAATATTATTAAAAAATATAAAAGAATTATGTTTTCTGCATGACAACTTGGCATAAAATATTACATCGTTTATATAACACATTATTTTTATTTATTTTGTATTTTATTTTTATTTATTTTGCATTTCATAATTTTATGACATGTATAATAGAATTTGAAAATGGTTCAATAATTAAACAATCACAGCCTACAATTGAATTCAAGAAAGTTTATCTTAAAATATTGTTTGAATTCTCGAAAATTTGTTAATCCTTATATTTTTATTAGGATTATATTCTCTCGAATTTGTTACAATATATATAAATATATATACAAGGTATATAGAGATACTATAAAATATTTTTGAACTTTGGCATATTTTTAATATTATGAAAATTCAAAAATTATTGCAGTGCGATAGACTGTGAGTTTATATAACACATTTATACTTTATATTATATAATTATATAACTATATAGTTATATAATATAAATATTATAGTTATAGTTATAGTTATATAATAAGTATTATAGTTATATTATAGT